ATATGGAGAGAGAAAGAGAGATTAAACAGACAAAGTGTTCCCTTTCATTCATGCTGAAATTTATTATATTCGCCATCCGGCTATGCTTTCTAAAATTACCTCCAATAAAGGATCTTCTTAACCAGATCAAAATATCTCAAAAGAATACCTTACCAACTCTTTAGTAACAAATTGACCTAGCTGATTTTTTCTAAAATAGTTTATACCTTAGGTTACTCATCTCATGTGTAACACGAACGTATCACAACTTCAAAATTTAGATCCCTTAGGCTAATCCATTTATCAATATTCTCTGATTTCAAAGACTGTCAAGTACTGACTTGATTCAGCCTCCTTTATGCCATTTTATTCAACAACACGGGTCACCGACTGCCATTTATCAGTATCTGATATAATAGCAGATACGCTTTCGCCCTACTGTTCCGAACCTACCATGTGCCTCGCAGCTTTTTCAGTTTATTAGGGTCAGATCGCAGTAGCAGAAAAGACGATAAATAGAAGAGAATGAATGCCTTGATAGGGTTTATTTAATTTTGGGACACACTTTTATGTCTAGAAGACTACACACGACACATTTTTTAGACCAGCGTTAAACGCATGAAAACTTGTGAAGGGCTGCTTCGAAAAATACTCACCTTATAAGGACTTGAGCATCTTAACCACATTGAATTATCCCTCGGTAGATGGAAGACGACTAGAGACCATACGGGTGAGCGAGAATTTATAGTCGTAATGCACATTCACATACACTGGTGACGTCACTAAATTTCGTTCTTGTTCGACGGCATGAAGCAACAACAACGGTCACATGACCTCTGTTGTGAGCTTACATGCTTTTGAACGTGTGATAATGAGAATGATCGGTCTTGTGCCAGTCGAAGAATAACAGTACACTGAGCTGTGGATTCTGTATAGAGCAACACACAAATTATCCGACGTCAAGGTGTTAAGTTACGAGTATATCAATGCATTATGTACACTGTGGTGTTTTAATGCTGGAAACAAAATGGCTTGGGTGGGTTTTAAGTAGGATGGCTGATCGTGGGAGTGGATCACTTGTGTCTGCAAACAGAGTCTAGCAATGAGTCAATCGACTGTTCACCAAATTCTTCTAAGAAACGCCCCGTGTTGTTCCTACGCATCTCATTTTTGTACGAGATAAAGGGGCTCAGCACTCTCCATCAAGATAAAACAGCCGACAATAATGATAAGCTGGTTGCAAGCATTTTGACTTGTTAAGTTATTACAGAAGGCCTTTCTCAAAAACCAGGCTTGGCGAATAGTAGATATTTTCCAGTCAACTGGAAAAGTTTGGAAATGACTGACAAGTCATTCGATCATTAGTTACCAGGTTCTTCTAAAACTAGTTGTTGGCCTTTAACCAAAAAATCGATATGGCTGTCGACAACACTTGAAGCTAAATCAACATAATTCAGATTCACACCACTAGCAGAGAGAAAACGACCGAACCTCAACAGAACAACCACACACAGAACTGTTGAACTGAATGCGCCCAACCTGACACAAGAGAGTGAAACCAAGTCACATTCACAGGAGACCAATCAAGCTACGCGAAGACCGCTTTCGGAGCTACCAGATACTGTTTATGAACTGTAATCACAGGCAGAAGAGGAGGAATTCACCCACTCAACCAGGCACTGACGATGTCAGTTCGATTGGTGATGAAACGTTTGCAATCCAGCTGCCAAGCTCGGCGAACAGCTAAGCAGTACAGCCGAGCAACCTACATTCCACAACATTGCCAATAAATGCCACAACTCAGAACCTTCCCATTACGTAATTCCATTTAGTGTCTACAAGTGATTATGCTGACATCGTTACATTAAACTCTAGATCTACTTGCGGCTGACAGAGGGACCTGCATTACTTGGCCAATCTAACAATGCTTACAACGCTATCGACTGGCAACTTTATTGTGTGTGAGACAAAACGTACTATGTCAGCACAATCCCACAAATTGAGACAAGTATTCAGTTCGCCCAAATTTCCCAGAGTTAGGGTTCTTCTATTTGTGGTAAATGGAATGGGACATGCATCTTCATTTTACTAAACACCAAATCTCTGTCACGGACCCGATATACTACTCAACAGTGGCCCGTTTCCACAACACTACTGTAGTCATTTACCTTAGGTTACAAGTTGTAGGTTATCATTAAGATGTTGACATTCCAAATTCATTGTCCTCACATGTCCTGATGCCCTAATTCTACAGGTCACTGATGCAAACTGATTAATAAGGAGGACAGAAGTTCACGTGTTGCACCAATTTAGGTCATGAACGCATCAAAATAATTGCGTCAGAGCGGACGGATGACTGTTCAGACGAGAGTGATGTGAACGTAAATTCTATACATCCCGCAACTGGCCACGGCCAAAGGTAGTCACACTGCATGGACACCGAATTCTTCCAACGGCCGCACACGGTCGCACACACTCTTGGAGAACCCTGGCTTACTGCCGCTTTCATCATTTGTGGTTGACGAGGCAGACGCGTAGAAAAGAGTGAGTTGGATATGGATTTACATTCTAATGACCGCATGCAAGCGTAAAATAAGACGAATGAAGGTGACTAATTACTGGTAATTTTGCTGCGATAGCCAATAAATTTGTTTGCCGACATCTTTATCAGAATCTCGATCACTCGTCAATTCAAATACCATGATCGAAAATGTGAATTCTGGTCTTTAATAAAGTGGTACTCTGAATGAAACGCAGCTCCTGTTTACTCTGTTGGAACTTTCAACTTATCGTTAAGACTAGGACTCCTTTCTAAGTGTCTTGAGCGCATCACAACATATCAATGAGTGTATCTATCGTAGTTTGGTAGCGGTTTGCCAGTAAATTCTTCAATCAAGTTGGACAAATACTTTTACTTTGTGCGTAGTACTCATTTACCAAACAAGTGCAGATCAATTCACGTGTTCTTGTGTTTCTGGCTGGTAGTTGAGCAAAAGAGGGTAAACGCAAAAGTTTTTCCCCATGACTTTGATTCGCTGGTTCGTGCTATGCTTGAAGTAGAAACGTTGTTTAAGTAGGAATTGCCAATTAGAATTTTTTCAGTTTATCGCCTCGAATTCTTCTGCCATGACAGATTAGCGTCTGCTTTGACGGGTTCCATCTTACGTCAAAAGCATGTAAGTTTATGTTTAGACACGTAAACTGGAAAGAATAGCGTTAAATTTTGGGTCTAATCAGATATTTTTTCCGATTTGAATTCAAGCAGAGAACGGTAAGTAGCCTTCATACATTGAAAGATAGTCCAAATGGACCATAACTTGAATAAGAGAGCACAATTCTACAGAAGACTCGACGCCCAAACTGGCTGTGTGTTTTCGAACAACGGCACATTCAGGGTGGTTCTTCTCAATTCTGCATCTTCTCGAAAACGACCTGTCGAACTGCCAAGTGATATAGCTTGCACCATGCCTACTGGTTAACACCAGTTCACCCAAAACACCGCTTTTCCACGGATTTGTCAGTTTATCACCATAGTCCTTCAATGCACAATGAGCATCTAACCACCTATTGCCAGCCCCCATTCAACTTCTGTTATGCTGGTGAGGAATCCTTAAGCAAAGCCGGAGAATCAGTTTAGTGCCTTTCGAAGTGTTGCCTTGGCTTTTTTGCCATAGCTTATTACTGAGGATGTGATGAACAGGGTTTGCCCAAGCTTGGATATAACTGCTTTTCTAGTCGAACCCTTTCTAGATACCGGGCTGACAGAAAGTTCCCAGAATTGCAAAGACGAATGAACGATTTGCAGGGCTATAATCTACCTCTGTTCTCTCTGTTCCGCATTCGTATGGCCGACCTGTTTCAGCTTCTCAACCAAGTAGATATTACGATAACTTCGCAACCGGTTGTGAGTTTCAAAGTTCCCAAGAGTGAACCAGATGGAACAGACTTGTTGGATGTTTCTTCGTGTTCAGAAGTACCATGATATTTTTTTCTCCTTTACTTCACCCTCCCAACGGTAAATTCATTATTGTAGGCGTTCTTTCACAGCAAGTTTGCTGTTGTGCTGTCAAATCTTGTCTTTTAAATAAAGCTTACTGCTTTACGACCGTGTCGGTGAAACGTGTCTCCAAGTGCACTGAAACCGCAGTTAGCGCTCTTATAAATATTGTAGCTGACATTGTGTCGCACATAATAAATAAACTCAGCTCTAACAGTGGAAACCCTATTCACCATAGTCTGTTTTACGCCAAATCCACCTGTTGCACGCAGTCCAGGTACAATCCATTATCTATAAATTCTACTAATCGCCGCCAGGCCATTGTCTCCAACTCTGACTCGGTGTCAGGTGTGTTTGATCCAAATCCTGTGGACTTTTTTCCGCCAGTTTAAAAGTTCATGCATATTTTTCGTATCGATTTTGGCCAATACGACAAACATCTGCTCCTTTGAGTACAGAAAGTCTTTCGTTGAGGCTTTGTAGCTGAAACTGGGCAGTTTGATTGATCAGAAGTAACCACCTTCATCAGAGAACTATTCTTGGTCAGGACATTTTGCTCCAAAAACTGTAACTTTCCTTCTCTGATGTGGATCTTTCAGTTGCCGTTTCTTCATTCACTATTCATACGAAACAGATGCTGTCCAAACTTATCCCATATCGCAGTAAAACTTAGAAAAACCTGGTCGTTGAAAATGGATCTGGTGTTGGCTCACTGGTCAGCTTATCTCTGGCTAAGTTTAACAAAGCTGAGAAAATTCGCTCCTTCTTCCGTACGTTTGACTGCTTGGGAGAAACAATCCCTTATTCTTTCTGAATTTATTGCATGGGCTATTTTTCATGGTACAAGATATTCATAACCTTAGGAAGTGATAAAGTCTTTTTTCGGTAATTCAAATGGAATCCAACAGCCCAATTTCCGTGAAATTATCTACAATAATGAGTTCAAATCTATTCCGAAAGTACACATAAACCAGTAAAACGGCTAAGGATTTTATATAAGAATGGCTTCATCATGTTTATACTACTCTTTTCGGTTTGCTTTGGATATGGATAAACCTTTGACCTTCTTCACTATTTCCGTTATCCCGATGAGAGGGTAGGTTGCACACAAGATGTACCGTTTCGTGGTGTGGAAGTTGAGAGATTCGAGTATACAGCGTGGTTTAGAACGCAGAGACTGCAATATTTCTATGAACTGTATTACCAAAGCGCAGTGAATCACAATGCGTAAAGTTTGTGGTAATATGCAGAATCGCGTGACCACGAAAAACAGATGGTGAAGATTATATGACCTTGAAGATCGCTCAAGCAGCATATCAATGTGGGCGAATTGTTTGTAACACATGGGCCGTAGCATCATTCGAATGTCACGTCAGTTCTAACAGTGCATCAAGCGAGGCCACTCAGGATGGTATTTGAACGCGAAAATAGGTCCTAATAAACCCTGAGGAATAAAAGACATCGCAACTTTCGTCCCAACACGTTGATCATTTTTTTTTGTTTTAAAAGTGTATGTATTATACTGTGCCAACCACAGTTTTAACGGAATAAAAGAGTATCGTGAACAAGGTGGCGGCAAGGAAATTCCCGGTTTCTAGACATGACGGTTGAGTGGCAGAATGCACATGAACGATGGACGACAACGACAGATCTATCAAAGTCTACTGTGTTAAACCCTATCCCCCTAAATGTAT